ATATATATATATATATTTTATTTTTTTACAAGATGCAAGTCAAATTACTCATGTGTCAAACAAAGCTTAAAAAAACATATTTTTAACATATCCTTAAAAAAAGGAAAATCCTATTACTCTTTGTTCTTTCTACCAGATCTGTCCGGAAAGATGTTTATCTTCCCACGTGAAACAAATACAGCTCATGTGAAATTAAGTCCATTAAAGCAAAACTTTAATTCAGTAACTGTCTGTCAAAGGTAATGTAGTTACATATATTTGAAATATTTAACTGTGCAAAGGGATTTTAACAACCTCTAAAATATTTGTAGTTTTCTTTCAAACATATGATTCCTTGACAATTGGAAAGTTTTTGAAAAATTATTCACATTTTTCGTTTTCTTAGTCCTTGTGTCTGATCATGACATATACAGTGAGGCAAATGCCAAAGACATTTTTAAAATTAATGGTGGAAGAAAAATACAAAATTATAGGAGATGACCAGTGTCTGAAAGAAAAAAATCAAGCTAAGACCTATAAGCTCTGAGGCACACAGCATCCTTCATGTGATCATCCGCTAAATGCCAAATATTATCTGTGATAATTTTACATGATTAAAGTAGAGAAATTATTAAAAAAAGTGTATTCTTTGTGACAGGTGGAAAAAATAGATGTATTATTAAAATGAATCATTAATAAAAAGTTGGAAGCAAACTTAGAAACAAGAAAAGAGGAGATGTTGATCCTTTTGCACAATTCCACATAGGAAAATTTTGCATTTATGTTTGTGAAATACTATTGAGTAATGAACATGTTAACTGTCATTTCTTCAGATTCTTCACAGACCTCATTAGAGGCCACGTCCATTTTTCTTTGGCCACGCCCAGTTATTCCAATACCTTTTTGGTTTACTGGGATGGCACTGACAAGGAATTTGAAATTTCTACCATGGATACAACAGGACTATTTGGAGTAGAAGACTACAAGCGAAACACATGGCACTCTCTCTGCACCACATGGGACCCTGTGTCTGGGCTGGTGCAGCTGTGGTTGGACGGACAACCTTCAGTTAAGAAATTTACCCGCTCCGTGTCAAATATCAGGGGGTCTCTTATAATCATGTTAGGACAGGTAAAGTTTCAATCATCCTCCCTATTTAATAAATTCTTAATAATACCAAGCTGTAAAAATAAACATATTTTATATTAGTCAGTTCTTCTTTATTGTTGTTGTTTACTGTCTATTAAAACTCTGAAATCTCTGCTAACAGGAACAGGACAGTCATGGTGGTGGGTTCGACATCAAGCAGTCTTTTGTTGGAATGATGTATGATGTCCATATGTGGGACTATGTCCTCTCTACCTGTGAGATTCAAAATTACATGGATTACAGAAGCTTTACTCCGGGTAATGTTCTAAACTGGAGGGCTATGGATTACCAGATAATAGGACAAGTTCTGCTAGAGAACAGAGCAATGGTTTGTTTGTAAACTATCAAATTGTTGTACAACATGCTTGAGCTAGAAAAGAATTGTTAAAATTAATGATCCATTTTAAATAATGCATAACAAAGGATCTGTAGCTTGATTTAAATAATTATTGTTTGTGTTTTCCCAATAATCAAATCCAAGATTTCAATCCTGATGAATTAGTTTAGACACCATTTTTGTATGATATTATTTTCTTACAAATACCTTACTCAATTAAAGCTTGCAAAGAGAAGAAAAAAAAGATACATTGGTTATGGATTCTTTACCTTTTTTGATCACATCAGAACTTGCAACATTTCTAGCTTGTTTATTGTGGGTTTATTCTCACTTGGCACATCTGATTCTGCTTTAAACAAACAAGAGTTTCTTTCTCATCTTGGATCTTAGTGCAGGTGTAAATATACCCAAATGAAATCTGCACTGGATGAAATAACCAGACTGAGACCCAGTTTTTCAGATGGTCATTATGAGATGCCAAGAAGTACAATTTGAATGCCAAACAAACTTAACAGAAATGAAATGTTTGCTGCAGACCAAACAATCAAACCTGTCAGGAGCTTAGAGCATGGGTTCCAGTATTCTGGCAAGACAAGCAGTGGGGAAGTTCAAAACGTTTATTAACAGAACTGGACAGAAAATGCGGAGCCAAGGACCTTCAGATCTGCGGCAACTGTGTGTGTGGGTGTGTTTGTGGGGGGTGACATTCTAGTTGAGGGAGAAACACAGGTAATTGACCACAATAATATGATGGAAGATGATTATCCATGTGAGTCACTTACCTGGTTTAACAGTTCAGTCCATCTTGTCAAAGCGAGGCAGAATCCAGCCGATAAACTGCCTAACTAGATGCGGCAGGAGCCGACCAGATTGTCCCCGATGCAGCATCCCCAGTGAACAGGCTGGAGTCAGAGCCAGGGCAGACAAACAGGTCAGAACAGGACGGTTATGAGATCCAGGGGTCTGCAACCTGGCCAGGGGTTCAGATCCAAACAGGAACAGACAGATCCAGGGATACAGGAATCCAGTAAAGATCATTCAACAGCAGCTTAGAAACATATACTTTCTATCAATATAGAAATTGCTGTTATAGTGGCAGTTAATACGTAAATAGCCTAATACATGCAGAGTAGAAGAATACAATTCAACTTTATTTTCATTGCATTGTCACAACTACAAAGCAACGGAAATTCACCTCTGCATTTAACCCATCCCTTTTGGGAGCAGTTGGCTGCCATTGTGCGGTGGCCAGGGAGGAGTGTGGGGGTTCAGGATCTTTGCTCAGGGACCCAGAGTGGCAGCCCGTTGGAGTGGGGCTTGGGACTCAGAACCCCTTGGGAATCCTCTGGTATCCAAGTGCAAAACCCTTACCACTATGCCACCACTCCCCGTAATGTGCCTTCAGTTGTTTGTAAACATCACAAATATTATATCTTAAGTAATGTAAATATAAGAATGTTTAAAATTACTTAATTAATTCATGAGAATCATTTGCACACTTGACCACAAGACACCTAGAGCAAAAAGTTTCCACAGATATAAAATGGTGGGCTTGCTGCCCAGCAAAATAGAAAAAAAAAGTATTAAGATTTGTATTTCAGAATCCGGGATATTCTTTCTTGTCTGATCAGAGCTAGCCTGTCTAATCAGAGGGGGAAAAAGTCACAGGGTATATTGTGCTGCATGATGATGAATAATAAATAATTTGGTTGGCCAAATATTCTTCCTGTTGGATCATTCTTTTATGCATCCGTAGCGCTCTTTGATGCGCCTAATAAGGACATGTGCAGTGCTGTTTTTTAAAAGGATACTGATATTTTTATTAAAGATAGGGTATTTATCCAAATGCCTCTCTCAAATGCATAAATATTTTCATCCTACAACTGACTTCATAGTGAGTTAAACTTGGATTGTAGAGTAGCATGTACCAAAACAGCTGATCTTTTTTATTAAATGTGCACATCCAGCGTCCATCACACTTACATGCTAGAAGACTGCAAAATGAAATAAAAATAAAATCTATATATTTTGTAGTCATGTTTTTAACATATTTAAATATGTGTAAATACTCATTCTTGCCAGGGACTCTATGCTCCATTAAATGATTTCTGAGCTTGTAGAGTCTGACGCAAGTGATATCTCTTGGCTTTAAGAGTTCCCCAAGGGGATGGGATGTATGATCTACACTAAGGAGGAGGGCTTCTTCGTTTTTACAGGTCCAGAGGATCCGTAATTCTACTTTAATGCTGTACTGCTTCTTGGTGGAAATGGTATGACAGGCCTCAGTGAATACCGATCTGAATGGCATCCCTAAATATCCTTCCGATTCTCACCACCTGATGTTTTCTTTGGAGATAAATTTTTTTCTCCAATGGCCATTAAGAGAAATTCTAAACCTAGACAGACAGGTATATCAAGAGCTTAACTTTTTTTCTTGTCTCTTTACTCAATCTGCCACTTGTGAATAAGACTGCAAGACGAAAGAGACAGTAACCATTTCCCCATCTGTCAAACATTCTTCATAGCAAGGGTGCCTCTGAGAAGAGTTAAAACATTTTAGCTAGATTAGCTCTTTCAACAACAAGATGTCAAAGCACGATAATTCTCCACTTTTTTGAGAAGTGGGTAGAAAGTGACATATGTAGAGCTCATCCTCTGTGTCCAATACCCAAAACACTTTATCATGGGGTCCACAGTGTCAAGCTATTTCTCATATCTAAACAATTGTATGCAATACATTAGAAAAACATTCTGAGCTTGTTTTAAACATTCCTTTTCAACAAAACTCAATTTGTATAATTAAATTGTTTTGATTAGTTGTATGCAACATTCTAAACTTCCAGTTATGTTTCAGTAACTGGAATTTGAAAAATCATTAAAACTCTCAAAAATAAAGGCTAGGCTTTTGCTCTACCTAGTCGCTAAAAAGCAAAACCAAAGGAGCTTTCCAAAATTTCAAGGTTACTCGATTTAAAACGGAATGCTGGTTTGATCATTAAGCAGTTTTTCGTAAGCCTTTACACACTCCTGTTTTTGCTTAAGAAGACTATTTGCAATACTGTGATAGTCTTCAGTCTGAGTCACGATAACAATTGGATTTATAGATCATTAGTATAAATCATAGTCACAAATAGACAAAGAGAAAACAAATCTTTAATTATATGACAAATGAATAATGTTTACACAAAGAAATTAAATTTTTTCCTTATGCAAATAATTTTAAGTGTGTTACTTTTTTATTGACTGTTATTTGGCAAAATAGAAAGTTCAGTTTGAACTCAAAGCAATCAAAAAGAAATAATCAAAACATTATAGATTAATATTAGTGACTGAATATTAATTGTATTTTTGTTGATATGTTTGTTTTAACAAGCTAGTAACAAACAGTTATTTTATTTTCTAGGAACACTTTGTCAATAATCTGATAATCCAGTGCCCTCCAGTTCAGCACATTTCCCGGTGTGAAGTTTCGATCATCCACATAATTCTGGATCTCACAGGAAGAGAGGACGTAGTCCCACATGTAGACATCAGACATCATGCCAACGAAAGACTGCTTGCTGTCAAAACCACCACCATGACTGTCCTGCTCCTGTTGGTAATACAGAGTGTCAGTGCATAATAATCAATAATGAAAAAGGCATTGGTGACTTGAATTAAATATTTGATGTGACTTGTTACTTTGCCAATTATCAGGTAAATGATATAATGGTGGTTAGGCTCATTTTCGTAAACATATTTTTACACACAGTAACACACATTAAAAAGAGGAAATGAAAATTATTTCTTAATTCACACTTATATAGTTATTGAGTCAAAAATGAAAGGTATAAAACTCACTTAAAATAAGAAAAAAATCTGAAAAAAATTAAAATCATGTCACACCATATGCAAACACATACGATTTCAGTGTGATTAAACGGCCATCGGACCTGCCTGACTGGTAGAGTAGGAGAGACTGGGGTCAGTTGGGCTATGTTAACATGTTCAAAATCAGATCTAAATATTAGTGGATTAGAAGTTCAAAATCTCTGTTTACATGGATACAGTAAACAATGATCTAATCATGTTGTGCTAGTGTGTACATTACAAGCAATTGATCAGATTAAATCATTTGAGCATCAGCAGAACTGTCTAGTTTTTACAGACATGCGCTGGTAGTAAAAGAAGAAGCTGCCTGTTATAAACAAATCCGTAGCTGTCCGCTCATCCTCCGCTTTAGCTTCTCTCTGTGCTTGTTCCTTATATTTATTTTTCTGTTGTTCTTAAGTCATCTCTGTTTTTTTCTTTATTTTTTTTTTCTCCACTGTGGACCTTCATTGTTTTGTTTTTTGCGGTCATTTAAATAAGTTAAGGGCTCAGCGGTACCTTATGCTAAAGCTCCTTAGCTACATGAAGAGGAAAGGATGACCTGTTCATCCACACATTAAAATTTAAAGTTCCCTCCACTGACAACATGCACCCAGTAGATGAAGGATAGTAAAGAGTGAGAAACGTCACGCTGATGCTGCACACATGTGGAAAGAGGAGGATTTTACTCCAAAGATCCAAATCTGAGTGTGCACACAAACGTCAATCTGAAAGGCAAAAAAAAAAAAAAACACCTCTCTCAATCTAAATGGGACTAACTCGGTTAAGAAACTTCAGCCCAACAGTGTTGTTTTCATCAACTATGACTAAATTATTTAGTTAAGGGTTTTGCCCAGGAACCCAGAGTGCAGGCTGTGGGGATCACAATGGGTACTTGCAATCTCTGCAGAGCACAAGCACATTGCTCGAACAACTAGTCCAACACTAAACTATATGTGGGTGATCATCCTCTGCCAAGCGTAAAAATCCTTTTGTCTAACTATCAAGATTTTATGTCTTCAAGCTCATAAGAGGTGATACAAAACCTTCTTTAATTTCTACCAAAATAAATCTCTAAATTATATCCAAAGCAAATATTTAATTGCATACTGCTTATTTTTGGATAAAGGCCCAGATGAAAAGGTAGACAGATTACTGCTCAGTAGATAGAACACTCCCAGTTCTTCTATTTTAATATGATGTAAATGTTTCCTAAGGAAACAACACAGAAAATGTTGCAATGACAATACAAGGAAAATTTCCTTGTATTAAATTAGCAGTAGAGTAATTGTGTGATGTTATGTTTTCTTATTTGTTTTAACAACATGTAAAAGCTCTGGAAAAATCCTTAGAGAATGAGTGCACTAAAAACAACAGCCCCATACATACCTACCTATCTCAATGACAGAAAAAAATGGGGTTTGCAAACAATCTGCCTTTTTTATGTATGCTTGTGAGGGTGGTATTAAGTCTGGTTTTGGCTCTTTTTTCTTTTAAAGTATGTTTTTCAACATGGGAAAAGTTTAATAAGGCCTCTGGCCTCTGTACATGCATTGTGTGGAGGCGCTACAATTAAATGACCCTACTTCAGAGTGTGAAAGTGAACTTGATCATCTTGGTGGTATTGGGAAGTAATTTTTTTCATTGTTAATAAAAAGAGAAAAAAAACTTCACCTGGCCTATCATAATTATGACAGGTCCCCTGATGTTAAATCCCGAGCTTGTAAATTTCCTAACGGAGGGCTGTCCATCAAACCATAGCTGCACCAGGCCAGATGAAGCTTCCCATGTGGTGCAGACAGAGTGCCACATGTTTGGCTTGTAGTCACGCCCTCCGAATTCTGCTTTTTTGTTCTTGATGTGTGGCTCCATTTCTTTATTGGTGTTATCCCAGAAAATCAGGAAGTCATTGGAATGAGTGGGTGTGGCTAAAGAGAATAGGATGTGGTCTCTTTTGAGGTCTGTAAAGGATCTGTTACAAAGACAAAAATACTATGCATTGTCCAGCAAATCTTACAAATACACATGAAAGATTGTTTTTGTAGTTTATTAAAAATCACAGTACCTGTGGCAAACAGTTACGGCATTAAAATCTGTTTTTGTTGTATTAAATATCACACGAGCTCTGTTGCTTTCAAGTGGGAAGGTAAACATCTTCCCAGAAAGATCTGTAAACATTTAACATATATTTCTGATAAGTAACGAGAAACTGGAAGAACTGTTAAAATGTTTCATGTCACTACACTATCCATCCATCCATCCATCCATCCATCCATCCATCCATCCATCCATCCATCCATCCATCCATCCATCCATCCATCCATCCGTCCGCTGGCTATCCAAAATTAAAACTATTAAAATTTCAAAGCAAATTTTACATGTAATGCATAGGACAGATACTGTCTTCCTGTATGCATTACGCAGTCTTATGCATGAAGAAATAATACGAAGGACAGCTTGGAGCAAAAGTAGCATTTTCTTCATTCTTAAATATAACATAATTAAATTCCCTTTTTGTTAGAATTACTGTAGATTAAGCTTAACATTTGCATGGAGTAATTGAATAGATACCTTGTGTTATGGCAGCACAAGTTGTCATCATCACAAGTAGAAGCAGTGCTTTCATCTAATAAAAAATAAAATATATAGTAAAGAGAAGTTTTAGTTGTAGGGTAAACCTATAAGTTCAAGTTTTGTTGGATTTCTGTAATGACGAACAGGAGTGAATGCGTTGATGAATGTAAGATCTTACCTTGAAATCTGTGTGAAGATTTTGTGTGTAACCAAGCGACTAAGGAACAGAGTTCGTGTTTCTACTCCCCACCCAAGTGTTTCAGTGTGAACTTCCTTAAACCAGTTCTTCTTTTGTCTAAGGCAATGCTCTTCGACCCATGTTTATTAGAAACAGCTTATGGGCTTACCATGCTGATGTTGAAACAATTGTTGCTTATCCAGGAAATCTGTAAAAATGTGGTAAATGTGGTAATAAGATACAGCACTTCACTCATTTTTTAATCCCAAAGTACAAATGTTGAAAGCAGGCTTTACCTTTTTCAGAAAACATGACTAATGAAACACAATGTTTGGTCTAAATTCTCTGAGAATTGTGTTAATTGCTGAAATTGTAGACAATTAAATAGCTATTAATTTATATTCCTTTTTTACTTTGGCAAACAAAATTGCTATGTACATTTTTTTTGCAGAAACAAGCAAATAATGAATGCAAATGGTTTAGACTTCACTTGCCCTCTGTTTGCCAATGAATTTTAAAAACAAAATTTGCGTAACAACAGTTTTTTAAAGTAGTATCAGAAATGGAGCATAACCTCTGAATTGTGTAATACTGTTAAAAAATTCTAAAGATATTAGCAGATTTCATTGAATGACTTGCATTGTACTGTACTATTATTATATATAAATCTCCAACAGTGTTTTTCACTTTACCTGTAACAAATTTTCCTCAGGAAATGCAAATAAGTGAATCTGAATTTTCCTACCTTAGCTTGATTATACTGCTGTTTCTTAGCAAGACAATGACTGCTCATGGAAACTACAAGCTATCCGCAATGTGTTGTTATTTATCTAAAATCTATTTTAGCAAGTCATGTTATGAGAAAGAGGTTGTTTCACCTTCAAAGAGTTTCTACCAAAGAGATGTTGTCCTGAACAACAGAATCCCATCCAAGCCCCACTCCTGTATATTTTGTTTTTTCTTTAAATACCAGTGTTATTCTACATTTGAAAATAAATTATACTAAAGCTGGCAACCCATTTAATAGAGTTTACAGCTAATAACTCAGAATGCATGAAAATTACAACGGTAATTTTTTTTTTCTTACCATGCTAGACATCATTGGAAAGCTTAGATTCTCTACAATTCAACCACCAAGTTCATTTTATGGACACAGCGAGAACCAAGGCACATTTAACACAGATACTGCAGCATGTCAAAATGTAAACATGACAAGCAGCCACAACAACATAACTTTGAAGCCGTCCAGAAGCCGTTTTAGAAAATCCAATCTTTAATTGCTTATATTCCATTCGTCCATAAGGGTCCACAGATTAAAAGTAATCCAGCATATTCGTAATAAAAACATTCCCTGATGAGAAAATCAGCCATAACGTCTCGTTGTTGACATCAGAAAAATAAGCTGGTCATAGCTAATGCTTAGCATTTTGATAATATTTACTTCCTAATACTTATTTCCTCTGTTGTTTGCCTGCGATGTTTGGTATGCTTCTTTACATAATTTTCTTACCTACAAGACAAACGTGTCCACATTTTTGTATGACGCAATTTCAGTCAGGGACAGTCACTTAAGTCTCACAAGCACTCCTTGCCTGTCAACCAATGATGCACCGAGTAGCGCAATATTATGCCTCATAGAGTCCTTTTTATCTTATTGTAGATTTATAAATGTTACATTTTGTCATATACACTGATTCTGAAAAAAGAAAAATACTTGCTTCATAAATGTTTTGTGGCCTTCATAATGCTTCAGTGTTATTCTGTGGGTCCAATAGCTGAGTGAAAGCATTTGGCACAATTTTACATAATATAGCAAGTTTGGAGAGATTTGGAGACGCTGGTGACACCAAAAGTTCAAAGCCACACAGCTCTGGAAGTGTTGTAGCTAGAGGTCTCAAGCATGTCTTTATTATTGCTATTTAAAAAAAGAGATATTATTTTCGAGAATAAAACAAGGTATTTCGAGTCATTTTTTAACTCATGCAGCTTTGGCTGTATTTTACTCACCCAATGTATATATTCAGAAAATATAAGGTGCAAGCTTTCAAATAATGTATGACACATGTAATTTGGGCTTACAGTGCCTTAGTTATTTGCTTTTCCATTTGGGAATGCAAAAATAGGATTACTTTAAAATGAGGGGGATGTTAAGATGCTAAAAATGAAGCCCCCAGAGCATGTTTTTTGCCATTTCTGCGGTAAGGAAAAATCCTTAAATAGTCAATTACGACCATATGTATGGGGTACCATTTGTAAAGTTAAGCAGTCAAAAATTGGGAGCAATCTTTATGGTTATTTAGCGTGATTTAGGAGAAAAAGTAAGGGGGTTATTTTTTTTCCAAGTCAAGTTTTTTACTATGTCATTCATTCATTTATAAAATTCTTACTTTGTTAAATAAATATTTAGTTTGCAAATTAAATATGAAGTTTGTTAAATAAATATTTAGCTCCAAACAAAATATTTAGTTTGCAACATAAATATTTAGTTTATTTAATGAATTTTTTGCTCCAAACAAAATATTTAATTTTTTAAATAAATATTTAGCTTCAAACTAAATATATAGTTTGCAGATTAAATATTTAGTTTGTAAAATAAATATTTGGCCCCAAACTAAATTTTTTTTTTTCTAAATAATTATTTATAAACTAAATATTTAATTATCTCAATACAGAGCAAAGAACATCTCTTCAAAATGTAGAATGATCACGTTTTTCAAGGGAAATATGGAAAACCAAGACAACAACCTTTCAATATGCAAAGCAACAAGTATACCAACAACTCATATTTACAGTTGCCTAAGCTACTAACGTAGTAACAGGGAAGTCACTTCAAGCTTTTACCTTTACAGCTTGTAATGTATAGTTTGTATCAATCAACTCTTCAATTTAAGGTGTGTGTTCAAACCTGCTTTGTTTCCACCCATGTCGTGAAGGCAATCCTCTTTGAAATGCTCAGCACAGAGATGCAAAGCTTTGGGATGTTTTGCAGGTAGATTTCCATCAAGAATAAAGTCTGTCCAGTGAGTCTTCAGAGACTCAGAAGAAGGCAGGATAAATTAACTGTCTTTTTGATGCACCATTTAAGAGAGCAATTGCAGTGTTTACTACTAGCTAAAGCCCTATCTGTTTGGAAGCTCAGTGTCGTTAAGCAGAGAGCTAACACCTGCTAGAGGGCGGGCTTTTGAAACGGAGCATTTTTTGCACATATTAACTAAGAGAGAGGGGAAAGGGTTTTTCAGCAGTGATCAAATTTAAACAGTGTGGCAGAAAATACATGGTGCAAATCTCAATGATATGGAAATTCAGAGCATTTCAAGACAAAAATATACGGTGCAAATATGCAGTATTTCGGTTTGGTGTTATCAGTGTGATGCAGAGTCTGTGACTTGATTTAGATTTTTTTTAACAGTTCAGCAGTCTGATGGCAGTAGGGAAAAAGCTGTTGCAGATGCTGCTGGACCTGCAGCGGATGCTGTGAAGCCTCTTACCAGAAGGCAGAAGGGAGAACACTCCATGGTGGCGGTGTGAAAGGTCACTGATGAACTTACGGGTTCGGGACACACAGCACTGGAATGAAAGGTCTTTAATGGAAGAAAGAGAAGCCCCGATGATCCTCTCTGCTGTTCTTATCACTGTTCTCACATTCTTCCAGTCTGAGAAGCTGCAGCCTCCAAACCACACAGTGAGAAAGCTGGTGAGAATGTTCTCTATATTGCTTCTGTAGAAGGATGTGAGGATGCGTGGGGGCAGGCGGGCTCTCCTCATCCTCCACAGGAAGTACAAGCGCTTCTGTGCCCTTTTGACCAGTGAGTTGGTGTTTAGAGTCCAGGGAAGGTTGTCTGTGATATGCACCCCAAGGACTTTGGTGCTCCTGACCACCTCTACAGCTGAGCTGTTGAGCAGTGGAGCATGCTTGGGCCAGTTCTTTCTGAAGTCGACAATCTCCTTTGTCTTCTCCAAATTATCTAGTCTATGAGAAAATTGTAAGCTCAGATCTAACAGAAGGACCAAGAATATATCTATTTATAATTGCCATTTTGAGAAAGCAGCAAAAACTCTCAAGGTTGACAGGAAAAAATCCACTGTAAGCCTGACCCAAACAATGTGTTTCTATCTGAAATCAGGCTTGCCATGTGCAGCCTTCAGGCCGTAACTGCCCTGGATACTATCTAAACATCACGCTCGGCTCTCTCTGCCCCCTCCCTTCTCTGATGAAATCAGTGAGCCTACTCCTTGTTTGGCCAGTTGATGAACATTGCCCCCTTTTACCGTCTTCGCTGTTCCCCCCTACAAGATGTTGTATTGTATCTGTGTT